GGGGGGGATTGATTCTGCCCCTCATAACACTCCCTCTTCAAAGCCCCCTTCTGGCCCCCTCACTAACCTAAGGCCCAGCACTCACTGCTCTAGCCATCTGGCGCAGAACAATGCAGCCAGGCACCCAGGGAAGCTGTCACACACAGGGACAGCAGCGACTTCCAGCTGCCGCCATACCACTAGTGCCCACCCTAGTTATGCTACTGGCCTGGCCCAACAATCTCAGCAGTGGAAAGCTGGGATGGGACTCCAGCTCCCTTTCTCTCTCTACTGGCTTTGGTGAAATGGGCTGCTCCTAGCCACCCAGCCCAAGAGACGGAGAACTATGGCTCATCAGCCAAGCACCAGCCCAAAAAGGCAGCATCCTCAAACCCATCTCAATAGGGAAATGCCCCCTAACTCCCCAGTACACCACACCCTGCACAGCCAAGTAGGGGAGCATCCCCAAACTCCATAGGACCACTGACCAAGAAAGAGGGTATCTCCACATCTCCCAGTCTACTCCAGCCAACCACCTCCAAACTCAACCCTTAGCCCAAGTTCAAAGAGGATCACCACTCAAAGATGGAAGTACCTGCAAACTCCCCAGATCCCTCCAGCCAAGTAAGGGAGCATCCTCAAACTCCTTAATCCCTGCAGCCTTGTAAAGAAATGTCTCCAAACCTCCAGCCTGGACAGGGCCCATCCCCACTCCAGAGAACATGAAAGCAAAGTGGCATTGGGCAGTCACTCACGTGGCAGCTTGTCGACACGCCAGGGCACAGAGTTGGTGACGTAGCTCCGCTTGGCGGCAGTGACTAGGATCCAGGTCCCCAAGCGGTAGCTGATGGGCAACACACCGATGCCCTCATGGTCTGTGGAGCCTGAGGCCAGTGAGGTCCGGTTCCCATAAATCTCCACGGCAGCCTGGGCCAGGGGGGAGAGGTCGCCACTCTCATACACCTGCACTTTGATCAGCACCTCTGTGGGGGGAGGAGAAAGAAGGTTGAGAAGGGAGCTGGGCCAGTGTCTCAGTGCTACTGCACCCCACTCCCATGTGCAGCCCATTGAGCCCTATTGCCTCCACTTCAACAGCTGTCCTGACCTCCCCCGGCCCTAGTCCACAGACCAGTACCAACTGGGAGAAGGCAGGGGAACACCATGGAGCAGGCCAGGAGACCCATTGCCCTCGACAGGCTGCAAGGCCAGCCCCACATAAGGAACCTCCACAGACCTCACTGCAGTGAGCCTAGAGTTGTCCTTGGCACCCAGGATCTGGACCCAGTAGACAGTAAAGTCCCAGCTTCAGCCATCTTCAGTCCCAGCTTCTGCTTCTTTGCAGAGGCAGTTACCTGCCTCTGCACAGAGGATGGGTGAGGCAACACAGACCCTGGGAGATGTACATGTGCAAACACCCACCTTGGCCTGAGGAAAGGCAGCACCAGTCCAGGGGATGGGGAGTCAGGAAACTTGGCTTCCAGTCCCATCTCCCCCACTGACTTGCTGCTGTTATTAAACACTGCTCAGAGCTGAGGCTCTCTCTCCCACTGTGCCTAGCTGGCATTTCCATCCCAAAGACCTTTGCATGGGTAGATCAGTGCTCTACTTTGGCCAGACTCAGGGAAGTCTCAGTGCCTAGGGGAAGGGCTGGGTATAAGAAGCAGAGAGTTTTGTACATGTACCCTTGGTGCTAATAGCCTTGGATGCATTTCATCCAAGTGTCAACATTGCCAACCCAAAAAATCATGAATCAGGCCTTAAAAATCACCATATTTGAAAAAAACCCAGGAATTTGGGGTCCTTTTACTGGCTTTTTGAGCCATCAGGACTCACATCTTCTGGCTTCTCCCTGCAAACTAGGGGTGTACTGATAGAGATTTTTTGGGCCCATACTGATGGCCAATTTTTTTTTAAACAATTTTTAACAAGCCATATTGGTGGATACCGATCTGATTCTGAGATGCAGCCCCGCAGCATGGAGAGTGGCATCTGACTGTTAAGTGTGTTGTGAGGGAAGAGGCATGGGGGGAGCAGATCAAGGCCCCAGTGAGGGAGGGAATAGGGCTAGTGCTGGGGCAGGTGCTGCCCAGCCGGGGCGGGGTGGGGCGGGGCATGGGACAGAGCTGTGGCTCGTCCAGGGGCATGGGAAGGCAGGAGTGGGGGCAGCTCCTGCCACTGCACGTACCCCAGGAGGGCATGCAGTCATGTGCCCCCTGGATCTGCACGTGGGGCAAGGGCAGACTGCCACTGTGGGTTGGGGCCAGGGCAGTGTCAGGCTCTTCCCAGCGGGGGCTGAGCTGGTCTGAGCTTGGGTGGGCGGTGGCAGCATTGGGAGCAGGGCTACAGCCAATTTTGGGGTGGCTGTTGCCCACACAATCCCTGCTTCCAGCACCACCACCCGCCCCGAGTGCAGCCTGGTTCAGCGCCCCCACTGGGAAAAGCCTGGCATAGCCCTGGCCCCAGACTGCAGTGGCAGCCCGCCCCTGCCCCACAGGTCTGGGGGCACATGCCCCCCTGCCCTCCTAGGAGGCATGCAGCGGCAGGAGCTGCCCCCCCCCTCCCTGTACCCCCTGGACAAGCCGCAGCTCAGTCCCATGCCCCGCTCTGCCCCGGCTAGGCAGCACCTGCCCCTACCCCTGCACCAGTGCCTGCCCCACTCCTGCCTTCACCGCGGGGGCCTTGATCTGACCCCCTCGCCCCTTCCCTCACAACAGACTTACCAGCCAGACCCAGCTGCTCTCCACACTGCTGGGCCACGCTCCTGGCCACCTGCATGCTGCACTGTGGTTGTGCGCGTGCACGCGGCATTTATCAGCCACATTACTGGCCACGTCAGACAAAAAAAGCTGACTGCTGATACTCTCAATTTTCCTCAAATCGGTGCTGATCCAATATGGGACCGATGTATCAGTGCACCTCTACTGCAAACAGGAAGGTGATAAACTTTCCATAAAAAAAGAAAACGAGAGCTGAGATCTCCACCTAATCCCATGTCTCCAGGATCTACAGGATTTAAAATAAACACCACCAAATATCATGAGTTGTCAACATTACTTGGGGAAAGGCCTGCGGGCACTGAGGCCAGAAGTAACTGGCCCAGGAGCATCAAGTCATGAGCCAACAAACATGTGTCAAAGAGGTTGGAGATCCTCTCCTCTTTGAAGAGCAGACAGGTCAGAGAGGTCTGGCCAAAGGTCGGTGCAAGCTCCCAGTATTCCCAGGCAGCCACAGATCTGGGACCTGCCACAGTATTTTTAAGAGCAAAAATTTCCCTGCTCTCCCCGCCCTACTAATGGGAGGATCCTGAAGCACTGATATTTCCAACTGCCTCCTATCCAACAGAAGCAAAAGAGTATCTGGAAGGAGAAACTGGCTCTGGATCTCAGCTCCCTTGAAGGGAGAGGAAGGGGCCTCTGAGTGATGGCGTGTGCAGCTGGATCAGAGCCACTGCAGCTGCCTTGTTCCATTGCACTACCATAAGCTGCCGTCCTCCACCCACATCACTCCGGGGGCTTCGCAATTGGAATGACAGCCACTCCTTCTATGTCTCCTGAGGGGGGACTCCCCTCTCCCCCAGCAGCCCCCCACAGTGGAGCTGCATAGCCTGGATAGGAGTACCAGGGCCCCAAAAGATGACTCGGTCAGGCTGGGCTGCTAAGAACTGGACATAAGCTACTCCCATGCGCAAGGAAGTTGGGCTCAGCTCAGCATACAGACAAGGAGGAACTGCAAATGTCAGAACCTCAGCCTTGATCTGGCCAGGGGCCCCTTTCATTGCTTGCCCCAGGGTCAGCACTGTCTTCTTGCAGCATCCCACCCCCATTGGAGGCAAGGGCAGTGAACAGATGGTTTGGGGTGGGGCTGGCTTGGGGACCTACATAAACTCAGCACTAGCAAGAGGTGCTAGGCCCACCGCCAAAGCAACTGCACAACTCTTGCAGCCACTGCTTCTGCAGATGAGGGGACAGCGTAATGTCTATAGGCTTTTTTTCTCTAGCAAGAGGCTCTTGGTGTCAACTGCAAGGGTATTTTACTGTGGAGACCATCCTATGAAAACCATCCAGGGCTTCCCTAAGACTACTTGACCACAGCAGGACTCACTTAGTACCCCCTCCACAAGTAAGGGGTGCAGGGGCAGAGAGGCAGTATACGGCTGTAAGATGAAACTTGAAAACCCCAGATCCTGTCTGCTCTCCAGAGAAGCAAGATTTGGGGCCAAATCAGCCCTATTCTCCACATTCCTGGGCTGACCATCATCCTACACTCCAGAGGCACTGATGCCCTGTATCAGACACATGCAGCAAACCCAGACCCAGGTAATGTCAATGGATCTCTAGGGATGACTCCAGGAGTGGGGGTGTCCTGCTCCTAACAGAGCTGGGGTGCTGATCACTGCTGACTAGCTCCCAGCTGCCACTAGTGAGGGCAATTGCAAGGGCCCTCAGAAAAGCCAAGCAAGTCATTGGAGCCAAAGCTTTTACAAATGTACTTGGGAACGTGGCCCTCTGAGCAACAGCTGCAAAGCCAGGTGGCAGGATCCCATAGGAGGGGACTGCCACATATTTAGAGACAACATGGCTTGCCTATTTTCCACTGGGGCTACCCCAGACGCAGCCAGAGCAGGGTTGGGCTTGGCTATTCTGGGCCTGCAGGGCTCACCCAGACCCTAAGGGTTTCTCTAGACACTGCGCCAATTAGCAAAAGCACTACAGACACACTTCAGGAGCATGAAGCAACCTTCCCTGTGGTGCTGCGTGCCTCCCCTCTGGCTGTAGTGCTAGCCAGAGCAAATGGAGCCAGAGCTGACAGGGCCTGGATCCCTTTTGCGAACCAAAGGGTCCCTTACCCCCACAGCCTGGGTTTAGAGCTGATTTGGTCACATATGAAGCAACTTCGGTGGTTCTCAACCCCACCACTAGCTTACATTAGCACCAAACTGATCACAAACTGTAGTACAGCTGCTGGTTTTCTCTGGGCCACAACTGGGGGGCATGAGCAGAGCTGGGAGAAATGGAGGGTGAGGGGTAATCCCAGTACTGTAGGTCAGGACCAAGGAAGTTCAGCAGAGCTATGGGGAAGGCCACTGAATGGGAACAGCATAAGGGGTGGGACAGAGAGGTGTGAGCAGAGCTGTGGGCATGGGCAGGGGGAAATGCTGGGACTGGAAAGGCCAAGGTGCTGCAGGTTGGGACAAGGCAGGTGGACTGAGCTGGGGAAGGCTGGCTGGACTAGCACACCGCAAAGGGGGCTCCCTGGCTAGCAACGCAGCCACTGCACGTTAAAATGCAGCCCCTGCAGCTCCAGCTCTGCTCCCCTAGGAACCTGCGCAGAGCTGTCTGTGGGTTACCGTCCCCAGGGGTGGGCACAGCCAGCCTCCTAGCACAAAAGCCAACACCCCCCTGCCCCACCCCGCACAGGAGTGAGCATGTACACATACACACATGCACACGCGTATGCGCTCTCCCCAGAGACAAGCTGTGCATGAACCCCCTGCCTCAGGCGGCTGGCCTGGGGCTCTCCGATTTGGAGAGGAGAGTTCCTGTCGCCCTGGCAACGACCTCATTCATCTCCCCCACACAGGCCCTGCCACAAGAGAAGCAGTGACTTTCCCCCAACAGTGGTGGAAAGCAGCGCTCAGCTCAGGCCCGGGCCTGGTGTGTGCCTCCCCCCTGCTTTACATCCATGCTTGGATTAAGCAGAAAGCAGCTTCCGGGGCCAGGCACTGTTGCTAGGGGGTTACCATGGCAGCTGTGGGGGAGCAACAGGCTCCCACAAGGGGGGAGCCAAGTGCAGACCGGCCAAGTGCAGGCCAGGCCCCAGCGCAGCTACGAGCCCTCCCCCATCGCTCCCCGAAGGCACCCCCAGCCCAGTGGGGCCTGGCTGGGTTTGCTCAGCCTTTGCCAGGGCTCAGCCAGGAAGCTGGGTTCGGCCTCGGCCTGCTTAGAGAAAAGGTGCCCGCTCAATGCCTCCTGGTTCAGGGGCT